CCAACTCCCAAATGTCAACATCATCAAATTTAGTGCTACATAAACAAGATTTTATGTATGTATGTATATATATACAGTATGTACTGTACGTTAAATAAAAGTCCCCTTTTTGAATTATATTGGTGCACTTTAAGTGTATTTATTTATTTATTAGTCAATTTATATATTTCCACTTTTGTTTTTAATTATGTCAGTTTCGGTCCTCCGTACTGCAGAAGCCTGATAATCACCCATTCATTCAAATCAGGTGTGTTTGAGCAGAGAAAAAAATAAAACATGCAGGGCTGCGGCCCTCGAGGACCAGGATTGCCCACCCCTGATCCAGAGGAACTACTGATTTATTATTTTTTCTACCTGATTAATGAGATGAATCAAGATGACGAAGTTTAGAATCTCAGAAAACATGTTCAGGTAAAAATATTGGAGTAAATCTGAGGCTTAATGCAAAGAACTGAAATGGGGAGTAGGGCATCTAATCCTAATCCCTACACATCTTTTCTATGGATGTCCACTTCCTTTTCATTTGATTGTTTCAGGTAAACAAACATGTTGTTGGCAGCTGCTCTCAAATGAAGCTTACAGATGTTTTATTTGAGACACTAACTCAATAGGAGGGGAGAATTGTGTTTGTTTTCTTACTTTGATATATTATTCATCATTCCTCATGACTTTGCAGTGAGTAACATCAACACATGTCCCATAATATTAATAGAACAAACAGAAAATGTAACAATTACCATAGGCCCAGCATGACCAGGAGGACCAACCGGACCTCTCTTCCCTCTCACTCCCTGTAACAAAGAGATGTTTTAATCAGCTTGAGGTTTAACCCTCATCATCACACAATTTCTATTGTTTTTACTTCTTTTCAAAGCAAAAACTTTAAACACATTTCAACATTAAACATTTCAAACTTTCTATCATAGCAGCGTGATTAGAGCTGGTAGTCTGACGGGTGTACTCACAGGAGGACCAACTTTTCCCAGTTCACCTGGTAGACCATCTGTACCAGGAATACCCTGTAAGGAATCAGACAAACATGCAGGAAATGTTGTGTAGTACTTCTGATATATCTGGTGAGGAAAAAAACTTTATCGCTTGCCACTAGTCTTTGAGCAAATGTCTGTGTGTGTTTGTTTTTATCTGTCTGTCCTCTGTTAAAAGATCACAACAGATTATAATAAAACTTTTTAAAAGTAAGTAGGATTACATCTACAACTGGTAAACTTTTAAAGTGAGACCAATTTATGTTTTATCGTATCTATATTCATAAGTGCAGGTGTGTCAAACTCATTTTCACAAAGGGCCACATGAGCATTATTCACATATTATTCACATATTGTAAATATATTGTCACCTGGTGGATCACTGACACACATATGAACAAAATGACAGCTTTCATCGTCAACCGTTAACAATGCTGATCAATAACATTTATAGACTTGTTAAATTTCACCTATAAATTTAGCAAGTTCTAATCCACTGATAAATTTCAAAATTAGCAAAAACCATAAAGCACTAATCAGAAAAATTAGTTCCCCTATTAGTGCTTTAGTGGAACGGTGCCCACCACTGGTGTCAACTGACCATATGTGACGTAAATAATACAGAAATGCTATTAGCAGTGGTGGGCACCAGACCGCTAAGGCGCAAATCCACTAATTGCTGATCTAAATATTTCATTTGCGCTTTAGCGGTCTTACTAAATTTTATAATTCATAAGTGGATTTGCACTTTGTACATTAAAAAGCAGTACCACTAATAACTAATTATCTACCAGTCATCATTATGTTGAACAGCAGAAGGTATGACTGTCAATGAATCACAACACATGTGATCTATCCAACAGCACCCCTCCCAGATAAACACTCTTATTGTGAAGGTATACATCCTGCTGACTGTTGCTTTGGGTCACGGTTCTGATTTCCCACAATGCTTTGTGTCTGCTTACGTAGCAGGAAGGTAATGTTTAGAACGCCCTGTCCCAGCTAAAACAGTTAACGTTTGTAATCCATACTAAAATTTTGTATGTATTTATTTATTTTACTTGACAAACGGAGCTCCTTTTTAAAAAAAAAAAAGTTTAAAAATACTTGACGTAATTGGTCGAAGCAATCCGCCAACGGGGTTAGCTGAAGGGACGCCGAAATGATTTAAAGAAGTTATGCTGATGAAGACTGACATCTAGTGGTCAACTGGAGCAACTACATGGAAAACTTTAAAATCCAAGCTCTTATTTTGAAGTGAAGATAGTTTCCTGTTCCACGTGCTTTCATTTCCCGTCACAAATCAAATCCATCATGTACCCAGAATGCATTGCTTCAGTTTTCCAATAAACAGTTTTAAAATTACTTTATTGATGCTTCTTTAAGGAAAAATCTACAACAAACAAAAGAAAAAGACAAAGAAGCAGCCGAACTAGCAATCCTCAACAACTTTTTAACTTTTACACCAGGAGCTAAAGGTCTGTTTCAGGAAATCACATCCTCAGCAATCAGCTGTAAAAGGGTTCTTACAATGCAAGTTGGCAGTATTGTGCACATATTGTACATGAATTGTCAGCTAGTAAGTGTCAAATTGAACTTGCACTTTAAAATCAGCTTCTGATAGTTTTTCTATGACATAAGCGCTTTTGATGTTGCGGACCTAAATATTTTCATAAGCGCTTTAGAAATTGCGGAGCTAATTTTTGGATTAGCGCTGCCCACCACTGGCTATTAGAAGTAAAAGTAACAGAGTTTTACTCATAGCTGATTTGTGATGAGTAGCTGTTGTCTTGAATTTGGAACTCTCTCACTTTCTGACAGTGAATTTCTATTGTAAAAATTAGTCTCAGAAATCTGAGTGTTGTCTCTGACAGTTCCTTATCTTTAACTAGCCTGGTTTAAACCAGACCCTGTCCTTCACTTTGCTTCGTACAAGGGTCTGGACTTGATGCATAGACAAGTGGTTCTTACAGGAGGCCAGGCTATCTTTTGACAACCACTTTGAACGTTCATACATGATTGCTGTTAACAATAAAACACATTTCAAAACTGAGATCTTTTGTGTCACAGACTGAACTAGAAATGATTGTTTGCAATTTTATCTCCTCTTGTTTTAGACTATTGTAACTGTTTTTACTTGATTAAACAAAGTTTCCTTGCCATGTCTTCAGTTTATTCAGAATGCTACAGAGAGGTTATTAAGGGGGCATGTTATGTAATTTCCAGGCACGGGGAGGCTGTAGTAGAGTGGTTAGGGGAGTCATCCTGTTGCCGGTTCGATCCCCTGGTCCAGCTGTGTCAGTCGTTGTGTCTTTGGGCAGGACACTTCACTTGCCTTGCCTATTGATGGTGGTCAGAGGGTCCGGTGGTGCATAGCAGTCTCACATCTGTCAGTGAACCCCAGGGCAACTGTGGCTACAATGTAGTTTACCATGATCAGTGTGTGAATGAGTGACTGTGAAGAGCTTTGGGGTCCAGAGGGACTTGATAAAGTGCTCTATAAGTTCAGTCAGTTTACACTAAATACACAATCAAGTAACTGTTAAATTCAGTTGTTATAAAAATGCTGTATATATCAAAAATAAATTTGATTTTGCATCATAGCCTATCGAAGCACTTTGAAATTGGCCTATGTCCTTGTAAGAACCTCCTACCATTTCTGACACTCCCACTTCAGCACGTCTTCACAACAATGCTCCATGCCTTTTACAACCTTTCATCGGAGAAAATTCCAACCATTTCTGACGAACCGTGTCATACTCAGGAATCATCAAGGAAGTGGTAGTGTCATTCACCAGTGACACTACCACTTCCTTGATGTAGGCATTATTTAATCTGACAAGACTGAACTTGACGCCAACCGGTGCTAATGTCCCCCATCACCATTCAGTAGTGACCAACTGTTAGAAGTTTTGTTAGAGTCATCACAGGCCTTCATTAAATAATCTCATAAGGTGAACAGACTGATGGGGGGGGGCGGGGCTAAAGTGATCTTGTCAAACTACTACACAAAGGTGTTGAACAGGTTTCCCTTATGATGCACACAAAATTTTGTTCAGATCGCATCATGAACGTGTGATTTAGAGTCAAGCACATGTCAACAGTGTGATGTCTAACTAGGCCATGCCCTCCAAAAGCTGGACTGCATTCATGTATCTTTATCTTTATTTAACAGGGACAATGCATACAAAAACATGGAACAGATCAAGTCTGTAATTGATGCGTTGCACAAAGAGTTTATAGCTACAGCTAATTTGCAACTCCAGTCCCTGGATGTGGAGGGGTGGATTAGGATTGACCATAATGAATTTGGTGCAGATTGGCTGAAGTACGTGTCCCTCACCTCGGCGACGGGGGACAAAAAAGGACTAGATTGTGACGTTTTACAAGCTCAACAGACGTAGTTCTACTGGGTGTTTGCTAATTGTTGCTGCCACGCAGCTGTGTAGGGGAGGCGCAGGGGCTCAGCTCCCGGAGGTCCTTTGTGTAAATAGGCGATGCTAGGGGCTACAGAAATAAAGTTTACTTACTAATTTACTTAAGATGGTTGTCAATGCTGAGCAACCTTAATAAATGCAAAAATTGCTATGAATCAGTCAATTTTATAGATACTCAACTAAAAGTCTGTGCGATAGCAGCTGACAGTCACCCCCAACATATTCTCTCAGCACTATACATTGCACAACATTTGGATAAACTTTCCTGAAACTCTCAGATAGTAATCATAGCAATGAACAGAGGAAGTCTATAACGTAACAAGTGAATCTGACAGCAAATTCATTTGGGTTTTTTTTTTTTTGTTACACATCTTATCAATATTTATACAGTACAAACATGATCAAAGAGGTTTTGGCAAAAGGTCAATATTAACTAGACATGGTTTTTTTTACGATGTAAAAACAAGTGTGCATTGCCTTGCAGCATGTCTTTACCTGCATCAGTGCACTTGCAGAATGATCTGTGACCAAGTTCAAATGTGTTTTCTATACCAGCTTGTGCTTGTCCAGTCAGCAGGTGTTTAAAATTAGGGTAATTGTGTGAAAATATAAAGTGTGTAGAGATTTTTTGTAAAAGTTGCTGTTGAGGGTTTTGAACCCTGATCTCCCACATGAAAGCCCATAGAGTTAACCATGAGACCATTGGAGCTGTCACAGAGAGGACTGCCTGGGGTTTATTTGTATGTGTGCAGAAAGAGGCCACATCGCCAATGCAATTGTTGACACCAAACTGCAACATATTATAACAATAAATCAATATTAGGACAATATTATAGAAAAACATAAAAAACTAACATATTAGTATTGTAAACACTGAACTACTGAGTTTAAATATTATTAAACTATGGTTCAGTACTGAGTAGGTACAGCAGGGGCAGTATTGGACCAATACAAGGCTTCATTAACTCCCATTATAAATTATTAAACATTAATATTTCAAAACTATAAGTTGTACAGGTACCAAAAGGCATAGCCATCATTTGGCACAGGAGCTTTACAGATATAAATTATAATGGCAGCTCTAGGACAAAGTATGCAGGAGGAGAAGCGTGTCAAAGTGGAGATGACTTGGATGGGAAACGATTCACAATAGTGTGCATTGCATTGGCAATGCACACTGAATATAAGAACATTTTGCAGACTGGTATCTGGAAAAAAGGTTGACTACAATGTACTTGACCTAGAAATGGCCTGCTCACATATTTCATCCCCATATTTATTCTAGACGTTAGAAAAAGGCTCGTATCAGCACAAGGGGTGGCCCAACATCACCAGAGTTTACACCAGCTGAAGAGCTGCCTGGCCCTTGATATAAATAAAGAGAGGCCTGTTCTAGAAGGAATCCAGTGGGGGACAGCGTCTCCACGACCCACCCATAGATAGAAACACCCCACTTCATTCCATTACTGAATATGCAACATGTTCACACATTAGTATGTTATGGACCGCTCGGTGCTGTGCTGACTTTTAGGACCCAGCAGTCTGCACAGGTAGAGGATGTTATACCCAGAAAAGGTAACACTCGTGAAGTTAATTGCTGGGAAAAGCCAACAGGTCAGACCTGTCCTGAAACACTCTGTCCTATCTGAAAGTCCTTCTCAATATAAGAGCTTCATCATCGACAGTCATTCAAAAATGGACACCAGTGTAAAGGACAACACGTGTTTGGAGCTACTTATGTGGTTTGACTTCATTAACAACAGCTTTGTTTCTTTATCAGTTATTTCTGAAATCCCCTCAACACATGTGATAGTATATTAAAGGCCTTTCTGTCAAACTTAGAACAACACAGTATTTAGAAACACAATCAAACTGTAACAATGTCCACATGGAGAATTATGACATTTATAATGAAAACCATCATAATGTTAAAATAATAATAGTACCTGACTGAATGTTTAAATGAATCAGTGGGATTTTATTACAGGCTGATTAATAAATGTCCACAACAGACAGAATCACTGAAACTGGTAATTCATGCCTTCATTTCTACCTGCTCAGACTATTGTAACAGCTTGTTCACCTGCCTAAACCAGAAACAGTTAAATCATCTTCAGCTTGTCCAAAACTCAGCAGCAAAACTGCTAACTGGAACCTCTAAATTCACCCACATCTCCCCGATCCTAGCAGAACTTCACTGGTTTCTGGTTCAAAATCCTGGTCCTCACCTTCAGAGCTCTTCATGGCCAAGCACCAGAATACATTAAAAGTCTCCTTTCACCTTACAACCCCAGAGGAGACCTCCACTCACAGGATCAACARCTCCTRATGGTTCCCCTCACTCACTTTAAGACCCGTGGTGACCGGTCCTTCTCCTCTGTGGCCCCCAGGCTCTGGAATGAACTCCCTGTTAATCTGAGCTCCATTGATAACATTGTCTCTTTCAAGACAGTCCTAAAAACTCACTTTTTCTCTCAAGCGTTTAGCTAACCATTCACCATTACTGCCGGCCTACCTCCATAGTGAATGCTCACCAATCTGTGTTTTTCTATTATTGAACATACAGTACACCATAGTTTTCTCTTCTCCGTTCTCCATGTTTTGTGTATTATTTGTATATTTTGCTCTGCATTGACCATGTGTCTGAGTTACAATTTTAGAATTTAATCTTGATTTGATGTTTCATTACGTTGCTTTATGTTTTATTCTGTTTTATTCTGTTTCATTTTATCTTTCCACCATTTCTACTTTGTTAATGATTGTACAGCATCTTGTGAATATATCTCTGTGAAAGGCACTTTATAAATAAAACTTTACTTTACTTACTTACTTAAACACATTGGTTTCTAATGGGAGTGACCTCTGAACAGATAAAACACCAGGTTTAACTAAGCCCGGCTGTTAGCCTGGTTTGGAGCATGCTAGCTGCACAGAAAAAATCAACATGGTAACTTATGCATGACTGCTTTTGTGAACCTGAATCCAGGCTTAATTCAGCCAGGATTTCTGGAAAATCCCAGCTTAATTTCATATCCTGGTTTTGTGCAACAGTCCTCAGGTCCTTTGTGTAGCAACAAAGAAAAGTGTCAACAATAAACAGCCCAGAATCACTGTAACACTAACTGTAACAGACTTTATTTTCAGCTACATGCTGTTAGCTGATGACAGCAGGTAGCTGAAACACATCCTGTTTTCTGCTCTTATTAAAACATGTTAGTGTTTTTTGAAGTGTTGGTTATCCCATTTTTATGGTTCCTCAGAACTGGGCACCCATTTACTCTTTCTCCTCTTTTGTGTTGGAGTTGTGCGCACTAATTTTCTTAATTAGCTGTGGTGGCCATCTTGAATTGGACTGATTCAAAAGGTAACCAGATGTAGATGAGTACTTGGAGATTATATGCTGAGAGTTTCACATAAATTTGCCATGTGTTTCATGAAATATTTTGCTAACAGTCAAACAGGGCTGATACCAACAGTTAATGCTAAAGTTTTAGGCATAAATCCCATGCAATCTGTGGTACTTAAATTATGCATTGGGGATGATGCTCAGCTACTATCACACCAGATTTCAGCTAAGAAGCTGTAAAATTAGCCAAGATATCAGGATATTTACAAGTTGTTATCACAAGCTGTTTTTGGGTTTTCTAAGGTCAGTTGACTGTCATTAAAATCCATCCAGTGGTTCATGAGACATTTTGCTAACACACACACACAGACAGAAAACATTATCGCCCTTACTCCTTTTGTGGCGGGCGATGCGTGTATAATGTACATGAGTAACAAAATACTCACATCCAGTCCGTCAAGTCCTACACCCTGGGGGAGAGAAATCAAAACTTATGAGTGTCAGATACTCGGGTAAAGTAAGTCCCTCACAGGAACAATCATTCACTTAACAATAGTTGAATATTTCAGTGTACATGGTGTGTATTTCAGTGTACATGGTMTGTATTTTAGTGTACATGGTGTGTATTTCAGTGTACATGGTATGTATTTCAGTGTACATGGTGTGTATTTCAGTGTACATGGAGATATTACACAGAAACACTGCAAGATGAGAATGTGGACTCACAGTTTCTCCAGGAGGCCCTCGAGTTCCAGGATCCCCCTGAAACCATTAAGACCACATCAGGACTATGAGAATGGAACAGGAAAATCCAGGATCTGTCAGACTCATCACTTCATGTGGACATTAGACCTGTTGTTTTTCTTAAGGGCACTCGATTTTAAGTTTTGTTAGTTTCATTTTTTTAATTAGCTTTACAACTTTTATATGTTTTTGAGTTAAATATTATTTAAATGTTATTTAAAAAAGCATTTTGTCAATGAGATCCAACTAAATTGAATAGCTCATGAAATATGCAGGCAAACAAAGGCTCAGATCTCAAACGGTTAATTTCCTTATCACAATGTGATCACTATTTCCGTATCACTCATTAAAAGGTCATCGCTAATCAGTTCACTCACACCCCTCCAGCAATAACCTGTATGAACAGTTTCAATCAGGTTTTCAACCACATCACAGCACCAAAACTGCTCTTATTAAAATTATAATGATGATAGCTGCTGACTCAGGACTTCTGTCAGTACTCATCCTCCTTGATCTGAGCTCTGCCTTTGACACCATCTCTCATCCTATCCTCATCGACTGACTAACCTCTATCGACATCTCAGACACCCCACTGCACTGGTTTAAATCCTGTCTTTCTGACCGCACTCAGTTCATACAGCTCAAGTCCTTCTGCTCCCAGTCTTCACCCATCTCCACTGGTGTTCCCCAAGGTTCTGCACTCGAGCCTCTATTTTTCATAATCTTTCTGCTCCCGCTTGGCCACATCTTCTGTAAATTTGGTGTTCATTTCCACTGTTATGCCGACGACACTCAGCTCTACATTTCATCAAAACCGAACTCCAACTTACCATCCTCCAATCTTACCGACTGCCTCAGTGAGCTCAACAACTGGTTCTCTAACAATTTCCTCCAACTGAACAATAACAAATCTCCTCCTTGTTGGGACAAAAAAACTAATTTTCAAAATCTCAGTATGTTCTCTTCACTCTTAACAACTCCGTTCTCTCCCCTCGCCTCAGGTCAAAAACCTAGGTATTGTCCTTGAAACCACACTCTCTTTCAACTCCCACATTAACAACGTGACTCAATCTGCCTTCTTTCATCTTCACAACATTAACCGTCTCCGTCCTTCACTCACTCCCTACTCCACTGGCATCCTTTTACACAGCCTGGTAACATCCAGGATTGACTACTGCAACTCCCTACTGTTTGGCCTCCCCAACAAATCCCTTCACAAACTACAGATGGTTCAGAACTCAGCAGCCCGTGTAATCACTCAAACCTCATCCTCTGCCCACATCACTCCAGTCCTACAACAGTTCCACTGGTTCCCAGTTAAATCCCACATCACTCCAGTCCAACAGCTCCACTGGTTCCCAGTTAAATCCCACATCACTCCAGTCCTACAACAGCTCCACTGGTTCCCAGTTAAATCCCACATCACTCCAGTCCTACAACAGCTCCACTGGTTCCCAGTTAAATCCCACATC